TGCTGAACCTAGGGATTTGGGAGATCTGTTCCCTTTCCAATGGAAAATGCCCTCAAATAGCTAAGCTTGAGCTCTGCAGGAGTATGTAGGGAATGAAAATGGTCGTCCCTTACCGAGCTGATGTGCTTCTGTGTCTCCTTGACGCGCTTCACTTCTGGAAGGTCAGGAATTGGGGTTCCTTTGCCAATGCTCTCCTTGTACTTAATCTACAAAGGCACAGACATTAGAAAATAAGTAAAAGGATGTAGATTAAAGCATAGCTGACAGATGGATAGCAGGTTTCCTGAATAAGGAAACACAGGTCCTTTACACTTATTCAAATCTTAGGTTACAAATGCATTCAGAGTGAAGGAAATCATCAAAGGAACCTTCTCCTAGTTCTATTAACCCTCACAGTTAATCTAATAGATACTTCTGCCTCACTTCTACAGAGCACTAACAGTAACTTGGCTTAGGGTAAAGAAGCAGAATCTTGTTTGGGCCAGACTTTTTCCATTGAAGCTTAATGTCCTGGTATCTAACATCTCCCAGGAGCTTAATTTCAGCAAGAACAAACCCCCTGATTTATAACGACTGATCCATGGCAAGATTTCCTACACCAAGTTCCCCAAAATTATTATATTATAAATTCAAAATAATTTCTGAAAATGCTAAGATGATGGCATTGAATTAGACACCCAAATTCATATGTGGATACATAAGGAACATCCTCCTGATCTTGCAGAGACTGAACATTTAGAAGGTCTTGGCTTCAGCACGAGCAGAGAGCTGCTGTTAAAGTGTTCCCACCCTCTTTACAGGCAGCCTCTCCAAAGGTGATTTGATGAATGCCACTGCACTAAAAGGGTTTTCTAAAAGCAGGTGTTCATATCTTGGGACCTCATACCATTGGGTCTTTCTACTACAGAAAGAAGAATTTTGGGTTTGTGAAAATCTGTCACATTCAACAAAGGTGGGAGTCATCAATCTAACAGTTCCTGGGACAACTGCATTTCTACTTTGGCACAACAAAAAAAATAAATCATAGCATTGCACAAGAACATATTTAACATAATATACATGAAACAAACAACTTAAATGCTGGTAACTCTTATACTGTGTTGATGTCAGCATTCAAAAAAACTGTTGAAAATATTTACAGACTTCAAAAGAAAAGCAGGATGTACAATTATTCCAATTTAAAGCGTTACGTTTTTTAATCTAATATAAAAACTTTAAGAGACATGCTTTAGTAAGGCCTTTGACACCTCACAGACAAGCCAACAAAGCATGGGGTGGGTAAGTGAGAAGAATGAAGAAGAGGGGCCACGCTGCTCAGTAGTGCTCAGTGACAGGACAGGAGGTACAGGGCACAAATTAAAACCCAGAAAATTCAATCTAAACACAGGAAAACAGTTTTTTACTGAGAAGGTGTTCAGACACCAGAACAGGCTGCCCAGAGAGGTTATGGAGTCTTCATCCTTTGAGATACTCAAAACTTGACTCAGTGTGGTCCTAGAGAACCTTCTCCATCTGACCCTGCTCGAGCAATGGGGTTGAAGTAGGTGATCTCAAGAGGCCTCTTCCAACCTAAGCAGTTCTTTGATTCTGTGCTAAATAAACTGTATTTGATATGAGAATAAAATGATGGGAAGAGCTTTTATGGTTTAGAAATGGATTGTAAGTAACAAATGGAATGTTAATTATTAGAAAGATGACTGTTAAGTAACGAGATGAAGCAAAAGCTTTTAGAAAGTAACCCTTAGCTGGATGGATTGTTGGCAAACCACTGGTTGCAACATTTAAAGAAATAAGAAGGAGAGGGTGTGGGGGGATGGAACAGATTATTTCAAATTGAATTAGCACTGGTAGAGCATTAAAAATCAATTCTTTTGTACCGAGCTGATTGCATCCTGGGTTCGCTTAACTCTCTGCATCTCTGGTGTCTTTTCAATAGTGGTTCCAGTTCCAATATCTTCTTTATATAAAATCTTAATATTTAGAATGAAGACAACAAGGTTAAGCATCCAAAACACAACATTAATTCTTACAGAGAGTGCACACAGGCTCAGGACTGATTTGTACACAGCAGTGTACAGTCCCCAGTCGCTGCCTGTCTGCACTCTGCCTGCTGCCCAAGTGCCATTTGTGCAAAAGAGGGGCTGATCAGTCCTGTCTGTAGCAACACACTTCAAGTGGAACATCAAAACACGTGTAAACCCAGTTTAGGATTGAAGATTAGCATGTGCTCCGATTTGGTCCTTTTGCTTCATTATGATTTGCACAAATGTCTTCCACTTGGTTACTCACTGTGCTGGTGGCAAAATGGCACAGCAGCCTTCAGCACTCCCTGGTAACACATGGAATGTGAAGCAAACCAGGCAGACACTTCAATTCTCACTGAAAGAAGACAGCTGCAGCACAACAAGCACACACTACTGACAGGGGAACTGGACAAAAGAAAGCTGGGCACTAGTAATACCAATTTAAATACAGGACTGACTGATTAATGATATATGTGAGAGGCTGCCAGCAGGGCACTCCACAAAACCAGCTGATGTGTATATATATATACAAATATTTTTTAAAAAGTTCTTATACATATTTAAGCAGAACAAGAAAATGAGGACTTGTAAGACAAGAGCCAAAAATAGTTCTCTCATTGAAAGTACTAACCTGTATTGTTTAGAATGAGAACTGAAAACAGAAAACAACTTTACCGAGCTGAAATTCTTCTGGTTTTCTTTCACACGCAGCATTTCTGGTGTGTCTTGTACAACTGTAACTTTTCCTTTACTGTTCTGTAGGTCCCACTGATACTGAAGCTGTTGAGAAAGTTAAATATCAAATGTTGACTCTATGCCATAAAAATTTACTCGCAGATTTTTCTCTGAGGATGAGAAAAAAGTAATTTCCAAGTGTGTCTCACAGGGAGGTCATTTGAACACCACCACTGGGGATAGAAAGATGTACCACAGTTACAAGGGTTCTCATTTAAACCAGCAACAGGAGATCCTTAACTAGATCTCCTGAAAAACCTAAAAGAATGAAGTTTCATCAATGAAAGTGAGAGATGCCAAGTCAGATTTCTCTTGCAGACCATAGTCCCACTGACAACACCAGGCAACGTCTCTAAGTACAGTTCTCTTGCTTGTGAAGGGGATGTCAAAGCCCTGTAGCAGAGAGGGCTTTTTCAAGAAAATTACAGAAAATTACACTTGAAGATCCCTGAGAATATAAAGGCAGCCTAGCTGGGACTGGAGATATGAAATGAAATCAAAGGGAATGTTTGTTATTATTTGACAGAGCGTTGATTATTTACTTACTGTGCTAAAGTTCTTTTGATTCTCACGGACTCTCTGCATTTCTGGTGTGTCTGCTACAGGCACATAGTAGGGCATGGTCCTTTCTGCATCTTCCTTGTACTTTTTCTGACAGGAAATATGAAATAAATTCCATTAATACAAAAGAAGGAATAAACAACCCGGCATTACTTACTGTTGCACAATGTCCATCTCTGTGGAAACTTGTGTGTCTGATATTAATTCAGATTATGCCCCTGTGTAAGATTTATTTTAAACATCTGGTCATTAAGGAATAGGAGAATTAAGATAAATCTACTCACAACATAATTATCTTGGGTTTGGCAAAAGCAATATAAATTGCTGTTTCATTTTATGCAGTATTAAATTAAGTTCAATATTGAAATGGAATTTCAGAGTAAGGGATGCTACATCACAGTCAGAGAGAAATTAATTTCTCTTGTGTGTCTCCTTGGTCTTGTGAGAAATAAGTTATCTAAAGGCTCCAAATTACTATCCACTCAAGGTTCCCACATGAACAACAACTTAATTGCTTAACTCAAGATACCTGGCTGGAAAGATTCTTGACCTGCTGGGCATGAATAATCTCAGGAGTATCAACAACACTGGTGTAGTTGGCTTTCTCCATTTCTGCCAACTGCTTGTATTTGATCTGTTGGGGAAAGCTCACATTTAGGTGCCTTCATCATATCTCAATGACAGTTTTCATTTGGTTCATTTAGAAAAAGCAGTTAATAAATTTTCCTTTCAAGAAACCATCAGATCTGACACATGAGAGAGTCACACAGACCTGGCTGGCAATGTCAGTGGCATTCTTTGCTCTCACAAAATCTGGTGTCTCCAGAGCCAGTTCTGTCAGACCTTTTCCTCTTATTTCTAATTCCAAGGCCTTCTTGTACTCTTTCTGCAGATGAAGACAGTAAATAGATACTTTGTCAATGTGAATGCAAAACCTTTAGCACTTTCAGATAGTTTCGTGATCACACCACAAAATAGGGATACTGCTGTTATAAACTCACAATTAAAGACCAAAATGTTGTCATTAAATTGTGTGCTTTATGACCTAAACCTTCAGAACAAACAGCCCTACTCCAGCAGCACATGGAGCACACTACAGGCCAGCTGCTTTAAGGTTCCTCTTCCCTCTCACACCAGTAACCTCAGACTGTAACAGACATTTGAATATGTCTTTAATATTATAGTAATAAAATATAGGCTCTTTGAATAACTCAAACTCTGCTCTACTGAGTATGAAGTGGATGGGGCTTGGAACAACCTGGGCTGGTGGGAGGTGTCCCTGCCCATGCAGGGGGCTGAAACTAGATGATCTTTAAGGTCCCTTCCCACCCAAACCAGTCCGGGATTCTGTGATTCTATGAAATGCTGTGTTAGTAAGGATGCTTATCTTAAGAGTATTTTGTTAAGAAGGAAATTGCAAGTAACACTAAAAAGTTACTTTTCCAGCTTTTAGCTTGGTCATGTTAAGACACTTAATATGTGAGCCAATCTCATCCTACAAAACCAATCCCAAATCCACCAGCCTGGCTCCCTCACTGTAGTCTCCTTCTGATCTCTCCCTTAGTTTCTTGTTTCTTTTTCCCTCAGCCTTGGTCCCTAGTCCCTAATCCTTGGTGTTGCTCCTGACCTGGGATCCCTAGTTTGCACACCTGACACCTCTGCTTCCCATGCTCAGCCTCACTGCATCACAAACCTGCTCCACTTTATCCCTTGACTGACCTGACAACTGATCACAGAACCTGCTTCCCACCTCTACTGCCCACATTAACTGCAAAGCCAGAAAAGAGCTCATTTATAAAGTTCAGGCTCCCAGTTGCATCCTTAGTCACCCATAGAGATTATTATTTTTTCTTTCCTCTTCTCAAGAGTTTGTAGGGAATGACAAAGTCCACCCTGTGTTACACAGACACAAGCATTTAGCAGCTGGAGGCTACTACCTTTGACCTACCTCATTCAGGATCTGAGTTGCATTCTTTGCTCTTAACATGTCTGGAGTCTCCTCTAAAGCTGTTAGTCCTTTACCTTTGACACCTTCCTCCAGATCCTTCCTGTACTCTTTCTGCAGAAGAAAGAAAAGGGAAACTGTAAAGCCAGACTAAAGAGTTCTCTGATTCACAGGCTTTCTTGCAAAAAAAAAAATGTTAAAAAAAGAAAAATATTCCAAGAGCTCCAAAAAACCTCCCATCAAATAATATTGCTTGGGATTAAAGATTAACTACTACAATGAAATATAGTAATTATTGCTCAAGATAAATGACAAAGGCACACACATGTACATCCTGCTATGGAACAACTAGGCTGATGAATGTCAGAAAGGGACACGCTGAATACAGTTACAGTTAAAGACCAATGGAATAAATGGCCAGGACAAATTAGATCACAACACAAAATATTATATAAACATGCTTAATGTGAATGGTTAGGAAACAGAAAACAGTGAAGGAACTGCTGCTGAGAATACTTAGTGGGATTGTTTAACTTGACAGAGGAAATAAGCACAGAATAATTGCTACCTCGCTTGCTATTTTTGTTGCATATTTGACATGTAATAAGGATGGTGTGATCTCCAAGCCAGCAAGGTTTCTGCCCTTCATGGACTCTTCAAAGTCCTTCTTATATTCTTTCTAATGAGAGTAAGAAGGAAAAAAAAAGCAAAATAGCAAATATTTATTACATTGTTTCTACTTGTGGTTTGGTATTAATGTCACAATGACAACCTGCTACAGGCTGAGCTGTAGGCAGCTAAAGGAATAAATCCTGTTTCTGCTAAAGCCCATGAAACAGCTCATTAATTTCCATGGAAATATGACTTGACCCTGACTTTTCTGGTTTGTTTTCTACTTGTTTGTATATGCAGAGAAAACCTTCAATGGAAGCACTCAAACTTAATGACTAATGGCTTTATACGAGTGTTTGTCAGCACGGATAAACCACTGTCTGTGACAGAACCAGGTTGTGCTTCAAACAAACAGAAAAGAACTGCTTGAAGAAAGAGTGACAGGTCAGTGAGGAACACCATGAGAGCAGAGACAGACAGGAAATAGATGGGTTTCCCAAAAAACACAGTTTTGAGGTGACAAGGATATCCAGGGTGCTTTCTGTGGGCTGTGATAATGGACACACACACTGTACTCATGTTGCAACACTGAGATGTGCTTCGTATCACATTTCTTCCACAGACCTGAAGACTTGATAAGCTTCACTTACTGGGAGCTTCTTGATGAAAAATTACAGGAAATATACACTTCATCATGACATGGGAAAGCTTCATGAATTTTATAGTAGCATTTCATAACCAGTATAAAGAAATGTGAAAGCTATAATTTTTCAGTCTACCAACATGCACAAGATGCAAGTATAATTGCCTGTTTAAATCACTGTGAAAGTTTAACTATAAAAATAAATCTTACCAGTTTTTTTTCAGTGTTGCTTTTGACCCTACCTCACTCTGCATGAGCTGAGATTCCTTTGCAGTAAGGTATGTTGGGGTTTCAAAGTCCAACATAGGTTTTCCTTTTTCCTTCTCATATTTTTCCTTGTATTTCACCTGAGAAGAAAAGAAAACAAAGTTGCCCTCCCAAATACTCAAAGAACTGATTCATTGACTAGTATGTGCCTATTTTGGTCAACAGATCTGTGGTAAAAAAGATGAGTGCCTAACACTGTTTTTCTTCCTGAAATCCATATTGTTGACCATAAAAATGTAAAAGCAAGGGTCAGGCTTGCAGCAAAATGTGTGTGGCCTAAAGTTCTACTGATGTGTTTCCTGTTGCAGAGAATAAGCAGTGTCAGCTCAGGTTTCAAGGATTCACTGATGGAAAGAAGGAAGAGAGGTAGCTGTGACAACCTAGCTTGAAGGAACTCAGACTGTTCCTGATCCTGGCAGAGTTTAGGTCCCATGTCCATGGATGGCTGGAATGTCAGCAGCAGGGCTTGGGAAGATGCAGTTTAGTAACTTGCTAACTAATGCTGTGCATGAGTGTCCAGGAAGAAAAAATGTCCAGAAAGATGAAGATATTAACACTTCAAGTTATAGCATCCAACCTTCAGGGCATCAGTTTTCAAACTGTTGCAGGAGGTCATGCTACATCTTTGGCTGGACAGATCCTGATCTCAAACTGAAGCAACAAGTATTTGACTTCAGCTTTAACTACAAACTGATTAACAGGCAGTTTCTTATAGTGCTGGTCTATGTATAGTCCTTTTTGCTCTTCCAGGCCATGCAGCAGAACAATAAGTACAGCCCTTTGTTTTCTAGCAGTAATTTCTCTCTTGCTTTACAGTCAGTAAATACCTGGACTAGAACTTGGACTGCAGAGGATTAGAGACCAAATCAGAGAATGAATTTCTCTGGAATGATTCACCTTTTGCTGTATTCCAGAGGGAAAAAGATGTCAGGGTTGTAGGCATTGCTTTGGGTAAAGCAATTTTGGATGCAGGAAGAGAATGTTAGAGCTCTCCTTAGTACCACTTGAGGGTGAAATGGATAGAGCAGTTCAAAGGATACTGTCAGCAGCAACCTACTGCTTTCAGTTTCCAGTTTCTGTGATTACCAGGTCTTTTTTGTGGGTTTGGGGTTTTTTTTCTGCAGAGGAAATCATGGTGACAAATGTATTTTACTGTGTAAAATGATCCATATACAACAGACACAAGGAACTTTGAGATCTACTTCAGAAGGAAGAAACCATACCAGGTATTTTATGTGTGTTCTAAACTTAGAAATGTGCAAATATTTCTCAGTGACTGGTTGACTGAGGTGTGCAGTGTTTCTAAAGCAGATAGGGACTGTTAAATGCTGGAGATTTGCTAGGGTGATGAGTGTACCCAGTGAGGGGGGTTAGGGAGAAACACACGACCAACTTACGTGGCTCTGTAGTTCTGATGCCTCCCTTAGATGAACCTGCTCAAGATTATCTGGCACCACATGGTAGTGACCCTTACTCTTCTCATATTGCTTCTTGTACTGGTACTGAAGGGAAGGTGTCAAAAATCATCTCAATAAAAAAAAAAATCCCTCAGCAAATTTACTTCTTAGGTCCAATCAAAGCAACACTTCAATGGAACATCGAAGAGAAATTAGAAATACAAAAAGTAAAACAAAACCAAGAAGTTTAACTCCCAGTATCAGGTATCACTTCTAAAGATGTGGGTGAACAGTTATCTTTTGGCTGTTTTGATTGCAACAAAGATTTTATCAAAATCAGGATTTAAGAAAAAAAAGAAGAATGAAAAAGAAAACACAGTGGATACATAAATGGGCTGCACCAAGGAATAAGTATTTTCTCAGTAAAATTATTAAGTATTTTGTTAGGTATAATTCTGTATATCTGCAACAGGGAGATGTTAAACAAATGTGAAATTACAAAAAAAAAACAACAACCCAAAACAAACAAGACAAAATATTTTAAATAAAGTAGGTAGGAAAGAAAAAAAAAGTAAATAAAACCAACAAAAAACCAAGAAGAAAATGGTATTTGTTAGTGTGATGCAATCAGTTAAAATGTAATAAAGAATCAATCCAGCAAAAATTATTAGAGGATTTAAAATATTAGCAGTTCTACAGCTAATCAGGATTTCACTTCCCATAGGACAAATGTGGCAAAGTTGCTTGTTAACCAGGAAATAATCATTAGAAAACAGAGGAAGAGATCACTACCAGGTGATGTCCTGTGAACAATAGCAGGGAGCCATTGTTACAGGACTAGTTAGCAGAGATCCATTGAGATGGGAATCAAGAGTGATGGAAACATCCCATGGATCTGGGATTAGTGAAGTAGCTTACAGCACTGGCGAGCTGGCTGGTGCTCAGGACGTGGTTCATGATCAGCGACTCAGACATGTCTGTCACTGGCTTGTGGAGCTTCTTTAAATCTGCCTTGTATTTCACCTGCAGGCAAGAGAGGACAAACACCATCAGAAAAGGAGGCTGCTAATCAAACCAGTGTTGTTGAATGAATTAATAATATACACAAGGTCTTTGTTAAAGAACTTTGCAGCTTTCAATTTCCCTAGAGGAAAACTGTAAGGAAACGTACCTCACTGGCCATGTTGTGAGCATCTTTCATGGTCTTGTAGATTTTAGCCTCCTTTAAATCATATTTTGGCTTTTTCCCCTTCTCTTTGGAAAAATTCTCCTTGTATTTCACCTACATTTTAAAAAAAACCAAAAACAACTGGGTGTTAAAACTGTTCCTGAGCACTCACTTGTTTGGCTGCAGAAGGCAGAGAGACCCTACTTCAATGCTGGTGGGGAGCAGAAGAATGAACATGTCATGACTTGAAGGCATCCACTGGAATAAAAGCTATTTTAAAGACAACCTGACATGGAAAGAAACTCTACCTCTGCATTTACAAAATACCACTTGCAAATTTTCATTCAGTACAGAGGATACAGCTCCTCGTGGTAAAAATAACATCCACAGTTAAGAGAAGTATGTTGACAAAATGCAGCTAAATTCTGACCCTCAGAGAAGAGGAATTTTTCACTTGATGGCAAATGTGCAGAGATAAAAATACCCTCTTTCACAGAGACAAAAACTGACACAAGCATACAGAGCATTTGAAAGAACTTTTTACAGAGCAATGCAACATATGATCAAGATCAGACCATCATGCCGAAGAGTTTTTAAGGCCAGAAGAAAGGCTACAGGAAGATCTGTGCAACATTCAAACAAACATGCCAGACAGACAAATGAAAGCCAACTAGAAAAAGGACAAGTGGATAAGCAAACTGGATAGAATGCTTTTTAAAGGAGAAATTTAGGAGAAGAAATGCTTAAGAGGAAAAAAAGAGAGCTAAAGATTATGCCAATTATTCTTTGCTCCCTTACTGCCTTTGTAACAGTCAATTTTCTCTCAGGAGTAAAATAATCTAATGAAAACATGTGGATAAGACTAAGAGAACTGGCTAGCACTGGAGAAAAGCATGGGAAAAAAGAATCTCATCATCACTGGATGGGAATAAATGTTATTTCTTCTTTTTCTTCAGTCGTTCAGTTTAAGAATCCTTGGTTCTACTGAAAAGATTCTTGTTTTTTTCCTGACAAACACAGGGGTTGACACTCAGACATGCAATAGTTACATGCAACAGATCTGGCTAGACATGGAAAAAACATAATTCCCCCTTTTTTTTTTTCATTTGGAAATACATGTGCAAAGGTTTTGAGATGGCAAAAAATATCTGAAACTGGGTGCCCTCAAATCCCTACAGGGTTCAGGGGCTGATTCAGTCATACACGATGCTCCCATCGTGCCATTCCAGCACCATGGGAACAGGGTAGTTTGAATGAAGTTTTATTGAAGTATAGATGAAGTTTAAATAGTTGAAATAGTCCTACTGTGAATGTTATGCCTATGGTAGGACTGTTCACTGAAGATGACCAGCACCATTGGTTGGATTTCTCATACACATGTATTTCAATTTTTTGCAGTTTCTAGAAAGGTAACTCAAACTTATATGTGTGTTTTTATCTTTTTTGGGGTGAAAATGGTGACTTTTCACATTGCATGGGTGAATCAGAAACTTCCATTAAAAACACTGGAAGTTCCAAAACTGTTAGGAAGGGCATAATAAAGTTTCAAGCTTCCTGTGGTGTTTCTGGAACAGGCAAATCCCCCCAACTCCCAGATTTCTCATGCATTGTCATTCCAGAGGTAAAAAAAAAGAAGAGGTGGTCTCATCTAGATGAGCAGTCTCACAAGTTTTGCTACATTCAACACCTCTGACACAAAAAGATCCAGTGCAACTGGTGCATCAAAATTCTCTAACATCTTGGAGTGGTAAGATGATATGCAAGCAAGAGACAGATTCAAAAATGGCATTCCCAGACGTGTGACTTTTTAAATTATCTTACATGACTACTTAGCATATTAGCTTTCTTAAAGGTTCTCATCCAGGGGGTATCATAAGATGCAGCTCCGTGCCCTCTCATGTGGCGTTTGAGGTATTCTGCCTATAATGCATAGCAAGAAAGCAAGGTCAGGATAGCAAAAAAAAACCCCTGCAGGGTTAAAACATGAAGTGGTGAGAAAGAACCAAGTTGAACTGAGGTCCCAGAGGAAGAAATTGTCATGGAAAATTGCAAACATGTGCTTCAGACTGATTGGAGAAGGTGGGCGTTGTGTAAAGGTGAGCAAGCTTCTGTTTCTGTGGACTTCCAGAGAGAAGGTTCTTTTAAAGGCACAAAGTAGAAAGAAAGTGGCTGAAAGAAGCTGGGTGGCCATCTCATCATGGATGGGTGATAAGACTTTGGTAAAAAGCTGTTTCTCTTAAAGCCAATACCTAGAAAAGCTCTATTAAGAGAGCATGGCTAACACTTCAGCCTTAGTATTTTAAATAACTTGTCAGGAGTAGGTTCCATACCATCATCACTGCTATTTAGTAAGTCAGTAGAAAAGTTTATGTAACAAAGAAATACCTGCATTGGGCATTAATTTTAACACATCCCTTTTACTCCCTTATCCCCTCATCTAGAAACAATTTCAGTTATACTGTTAGCATCACTCTATAAGTTAATATCATGTCTCATTTCTCTCACTGCTTCTGAGTGTCACCAACTTGTTATGGTTACCTACCTGGCTGGTGAGCTTGGACACCTCCTTAGCCAGTTCAATATCTGGGCGCCCCAGCATGGTTACCCCTAGTCCAGCTTCTCCACGCTTCTTATATTCAATCTACCAAAGCAAAAGGAGGTATTGTTTAGTAGTGATGACATTGCCTTTCCATTTGTTTACTGACACTGGTTTTCATAGCAAAATTGCTGCTAAAGAATTATACAGAAGACTTAAAAAACACTTACATTGCTTATCAACTTGGCAGCCTGAGTTGCTTTCTTGATATCTGGTCGATCTGCTATGGGTGTGTAGTGGAGCTTTGACTTGGCATCTTTCTTGTATTCAATCTAATCCATGAAGAGAGACAGAGGAAAGAAAATTACTGAGGTTGGTTCAGGAGGAATATCTCTATTAAGGACATGGTTCTTTTAAAAAATAATTTCACAAGGACTGGGTTTGGGAATCTGTTTCTGCAAGTTGTCCACAAATGAATAAATAAGTACGTGCAGTACTGTCTGTATTTGAAGGAATTAAAACACATGTCAGATGTGGTTGGCAGTAGATTACTTTCAATCCTTCCATGTGATTAAGTAGAAATATGATTTCCAAATAAATCTTTTATTTCAGTGCAATTGTACAGTTGTAAGTATTTGCACCTCTATCTTTGAGAATTACAACTGAATATAGAGGCTGGGAGGAAACCCAGAAGCATATGAACATTTGTTTTTGCTGGCTGACTTTGAATGAATTTGCTCACACAAGCTACTTGATTAATGAAAAGACAAGACAAACTTACTGTACTCTGGTTTTTAGCAACTTCCATGGCATGTTTCACTTCAGGAGGCTCCAGCATGACAGAATAATTAGATTTGCCTTTCTCCTTCACAAACTTCTTTTTATAGTTTGTCTGTTAAGAGAAAAAGGGCCAAGTGTGTTTTTTTCACATGGAGGTAAATGCTGCTGAAACTTGGAAATGAGTTCATTGTAAGTGTTAAGACAGATAAAAGGCAGTTGCCTCAATCCCAAAATGTATGGTCCCCAGTTTGTTTGTCACTCATTGTAAGTGTTAAGACAGATAAAAGGCAGAATCTCAAAATGTATGGTCCCCAGTTTGTTTGTCATAATGTGCACTTAGATTGTAAAAGTTTTGCTATTTGGGGATAATGATTTGTGTTTTTTCTGACTCCTTGGGCATTTTGCAATGAGACTGTGAATATGTTGCATGTATTCTGAAACATGTAGCAGTCTAGTCTGTCATAGGCAGCAGGTAATCATCTCACCATGAGTTGTTATCTCACCTCACTGACGTTCTTGGTCACCTCTTTCACATGAGCAGTGTCTCGTGTCTCTGGCAGGGTTGTGAATGACCCATGAGGAAGCTGCTTCTTGCTGTGCTCTTTGTATTTGTTCTGAAAGCACAGAAGAAAAATGGGTAGAAAACAGCAAAGCAAGTATGTGTGTCCCCACATATTAAAAGGATGTAGTTAAAATGAACAAAAAACTCTCTGATGTTTTACCTCAGATACAAGAGAGCTGACAGTCTTAGCCAGGAGGATCTGAGGTGTGTCTGGAACAACATGGTAAGTTCCTCGAGCCTTGTTGTGCTTCTCTTTGTATTTTATCTAGCAGGAAGAAAAGATACCATTTTAAGCAATGTGTAGCTTTTCTTGTGGTTGTTTTAGAAAGAAATATCTATAGTTGTGGCTGCTTGTGAATGCAAAAGTTTGCAGAAAATCCCATATTTTGATGCTTTCCAAGATAAATTCATTCCAGTCTATATATTCCTGTAGCTCTCACGTGGAATTTTATGGAATATTAATGTATTGTTAGTAATTATCTAAGATACTCTGTGTTATGCACAGGTTATACCTGCAGCTTTTTTTGGTGGTGTTTTTTTTGTTGGGTTTATTTTCCTCCAGATAATACTTTCATTTCCATATCAGGAATGCAGAGATATACCAAGGGCCTAAGGTGTTCAGACAATGTTAACTTTAAATATTTAATTAATCCATGAACTAGGCCAGTGACATTTGCAAGACCAAATGTATTCAGATTTGGCAATTTGATAATGAAATAGATAAATGAAGTGAAATAATGAAAGGAGACTGAGAGCTTCACAAAGCTTCCTTCTTAATCCAGTCATGTTTCTAATGAAGTAATTTATGTGATAAATAAAGTTGTGCTAGAACAAAAAATGTGAGTATTCAGGTACTTACATCACTGGCCAAGATGGCATTATTTAAGGCCAACACTGTGTTCTTGTCATCTGTGACAGACAGTTTGCATCCCTTCAGGAATTCCCGGTCCAGTTTGTATTCATACTGCAGGAAGGAAAAAAGAAAAGATCAAAGAAGAGTCTCACATCTTCAAGTTGTTTGTTTGTTTTATAAATTCTGGACACGACAGATATGGGAAAAGGGAATATTCAGTTTGTTGTGATTTTCTTACATCACTCTGTTGCAGAGATGACTTGGCTGCTTGAACGAAGTCGGGTCTGTCAGCGATCCAGTGCCAACGGGCCTTGGCTGCTTCATATTTCTTCTTATAGTCCAGCTGTTTGTAGTGAAACCACAAGGACAAAAAGAAGTTAACTGGAAGTTGTGTATTTCACACGTGACATTCATACAGATGCAAACTCTCTTCTGATCTCTACCAGCTAAAGAGTGAAGAGCTAAGAAAGTGCATCTGCATTAGACTAGAGCTTTCCTCTGAGTCATGTGCAAACCCTATTTACTCAAGTTTTCCCACTGCTGTGTGGAGAAAGGAATATGAGTGACTGAAAAGTTCTGTGACTTTGGAGAAGGTGAGTGCTTTCAGTTCCTTGCCTACTGAAGTGGATGTTGGGCCACCAACTTTAGACATCACAGGAGAGCTTCACTTGAAGTGCTTACTTTGTCTACAAGAACAACATCACAGAGCATTCCTGCCAGGAAAACAGAGGGGAACTAGAAGAACAGTAGGTATGTGACACAGAGGGACCTCAAGGACAACTTGCAAGAAGTAAGCACTTTAGTATGAAATAAATTAGAACATCTTTTATTTAAGCACCATAAGAATCAGGAGCAATGTCCAAGGTGGAAAAAAAAATAATAAAAATAAATAAATCAATGGAACTGAAAATAATTTCTCATGGTCTCCATTGCCAGTTCCAATCAATATCCATAATAAAATGAAACTATAAAGAAAATGGAACTCACGTTGCTGTTTAGCTTGTAAGCATGTCTTGGAGTCTTGATGTGCACTGAATCTGCTATGACATTGCAGTGAGATTTATTCCTCTCATACATTTCCTTGTATTTCAGCTAAAGAAAGACAACATAAAAAAAATATCACAAAGATACTAATCACCAACAAGAGAAGCATGAAAATATGAAAAACATAGTATTAAAAAATGGCTGCTGTCAAGATAAAATCTTAATGAAAAAAAATTATATTCATACAACTTGGTATTAATCCCCTGCCTGAAAGGAGGGTGCTGTCCCACAGCAGGTTTTTTAAAGTAGAAAATGTAGCAGGTGGAACTCAACAAGAAGCACACACAAAGATTATTTTAAAAAACAAAAATCTACATATGAACAGTAATTCTGCTGTTTCTAGTTTTTTTTGCACCTAATAGAAATGCTTTAAAGAAACTTATCTTCTGATCAGCACATTTAATACTTTCTAAAAACTCCTTTATAGAATCTCAAATTCAGCACTCAGTTTGGAACAAAAAAAATGTACTTCACTTCATGGATCAGTTCTGAACATCTTTGCCTCTTGATGATCCACATCAGTATCTGGATAATATGGTTATTTTTTTCCTCCTAGATTTACTCATTGAAGAGATGATCCGTGTAGCATTTGAATTATTTTCACACCACTTATTCTTACAGTACTATATTGAGTATAGTATATACATTTGAGTATATATATATATATATATGTGTATAAAATATTTATGTAGAGAAACTATACATTGAGAGAGAGTGTGTGTGTATATAAGTATATAAGTGTATATACAGGTATGTATATACACACCCCCCCCACAATACAAAGGTCAGAAATCAAGCCTAGGGTAGGAGGAAAAATTAAGACCAGGACTCCCAGTTCATTCTCTGCACTTCATGATCCTTTCTCTCTCTTCTTTCTAGCTTTCCATTACCCCATAATCAAAAGACATGTTTCTTTTTGATCAGAATATTTACCTTCCATATTCACAATAGCTTTTAATGCCACAGATAAGAAGAGCTGACTTACATCACTGATTCTGTCCTTGACCTTTTTCACGTGCAGTAGCATGGGTGTGTCATGGATGGTGGTATAGCCTCTAGGCTTTGCTTTGTTATATTCCAACTTGTAAATAATCTGAAGAGAAAAACAATAAATTATTGAAATTATTGGCCTTGGAAGACTGGAAATGCCAGATTCCAGCTTCTCTCACTGGAAAGGTCAGAATTCAGAGGAGGTTCGTGTGAAAGGGCCTGACCACACTTACATCACTAATCTGTTTGTTGACTTTTGTAGTCCTTAAGTGTTCTGGAGTATCCACAACTGTAGTATACTTGTCTTTCTTCTTCTCATAGTCCTTTTTGTATTGAACCTGGTGGTTGGGAAATAATGTGTATTAGTCACACAAACCAAGATAAAACATCTTCAGGTTTATAACCACACTTTATAATCACACAACGAATTGCAAACTCCTTTCACCCAAGTCAGTGAAAGCTGAACATGCACAAAAAGCTAAACTTTGCAAACCCCTTCTTTGCCTCAGAGGCTGCCTGTCTATTTTGATTAATTTTACATTTATTTCACTTTTATCCTAAATCTCCAAGATTGAGCTAAAAAAGCAATCTTGGCAGATTAGTGACTTTTAAATATCCTAAATCTCCAAGATTGAGCTAAAAAAGGAATCTTGGCAGATTCATAACTGGACAATATCTCATTTAAAAATATTAATAATACGAAGAGAAACATAAAATATCTTACATAGTATCAGATTTAAACACCCACTGTATATATCAAAGTGCCAGGCCATTTTAAAGGCTTTGATAGCAGAATTTGTATCTTGATAATTAGTTTCTTAAAGATCATCTGGCCCCACTCAGGACTCTCAACCTGTTTTCACAGAATTCAGTAAGTACACCAGGGATGACAATCCATTGCAGACAGCCTGAGGGCAGGGGGAAGAGGTTAGAACACACTTTTGAAAAAGAACTTCCATGCTCTCTCTTGCACCAGAAAAGAAACCCATGCTTCTACAACAGGGCTATGACAAATATAATACAAACAATTCTATACAAACAACAGCTCATAACATGCAGTTAGTTTAGATGAACATGCAGGTCAGTCACAGTGCTACTTTTTAAATTCAAACAGGTTAAAACTCACCTGCAAGGGGTTTTTAAATGAGATAATAGAAATCCATGGATAAATTGAACAAGAATGTCTAGTAAAGACCTCTAGTACCTCATTACTGAAGAATTTTATTAACTGTGCTCATAGTAACAAAGATCACCACCTCTCTCCCTCTCATGTAATTATTTTCTACTGTTTCCTTTGCAGTTCAGAACTTAAATGTTATTTACCAGTTTTACCTGACCCAGGCAGGAATGATTTTTACCATTGAAAAGAGGGAGGTTAATGCTAGCAGCTCTGATTTCAGTGCAGAAACAAATATGTATCAGTTATTTAACAAGCCACACATTCATCCAGCTGGTACAACCAAAATATATATGCTGGAATCCAGATTAAATGAAGGTAGAATATGGAAAATTAATTCTTCACAACAATATCAGTCATTACAGGAATTCTATTACTTCAGCAGAAATGTAACTATGTCAGGCTCTTTGCTCTCTATGAACAAAGAGATGAACCCTACTCCCTCACCACCTTTTGATTTTGATTAGAACTGGCAAAAGGAGAATTTTAATTTTTATAAATAAACTGTGTAATGTCAGTACATGGAGACTGCTTTCTGCTTTGCTAGCCTTGCTTAAAAGCAGCAAGTAGGGAAA